TTCTGTTTATGCAAAATTTATGATGATTTACGGTACTGAGCGCGCAAGGCAGGTGTGAGGAAAGAACCATTCGTGCAGTTAACCTAGTTACTTTAAGTTTGATGCAAAAACGCATGGCCGCACCAACTCGTCCGGTGCGTCCCAGCCTGGGTTTTTAAATTCGCACGTGGTGCAAGTGAAATCTACATTTTATTGCATCATAATTTGTTGCGTCATCCCCATATGCAGATTAATTCATTCGTCTCAGAATTTTGAACCTACTTTTAATTAAGCAGGCTAACAAAAATGGTCCTTTAATCAGATTACGAAGTCTACTGTTTTCTTTTTTTTGGGCTCAAGTCGAAATTCAGAGTAGTCTTATGATCTCAGAGCGTGACAAACCATAAGCCAGAAATTTCCAGTACAGTTCACAGCATCATGAGAACAGGACGACCTGAAATCAGATTTTGAACGTTCTTCTATCTCCATCTACAGTTTTACATTCACGTACATGCTAAGATTATATTCCTGAACAATGCAAGCTGTAAATTCGAAATTTTCGTGTATGTCAAACCGAAACCACCGAAGAAAAAAACTAGATTTTCTGCGTTTTCTCACTTCAGCTGATGGTGTGCGAGTGGTTTACCGCCAAAACAAATAGCCGCCGACCGCCTGGTGTGTGCTGCTTCCATCCGAACAAATTTTGTCGCTTCTATAAGAACCACTGAATTGCTCTTCCTGCTTGCTTCCTAGCTCCCGCTGCGCGATTGCGATGTATCCCACTGATGATTGCAGTTTTCGATAATCAGAATATTTGCTGAGAGATGAAGTGAAGAACCACGTAATTGACAGGTGCAGCGTGATACAATTCTTCGCGGAAGAGCAAAGAAAGAAAGCAGAGAAATGAGTGCCAACATCACTAACAGACTTACCAGCAGATGTTACGGCTTCTAGCATATGTATATATAATACTAAAACAGAATGTGCGCCTGGACGATCGGTACGAAATCCCACGTATTGGTCATACTGGGATGCTCTTACACAATCGACGGAGAACTGACATATCCTTCGATCTTCAGCTCTAGTCATTTATTTATTCGGTGTATGTGTCGTACGTCTTTGAAGATCACTGAATTTTTACATTATCACGGATACAATTCACTGATATGAGTCACCTCACGATTGTCAGTAAGGCGAGCAGCGTGTTCTGTCAATGAGATTTTGCTTTCTTACCTAATCGCAATAACTTGCAGTTCGCCATTTATCTAACGGAGAGTCTGCTTATATGCATGCACTCTAAGCATACTTCGTTCCGCAACGCTCTCTTTCACGGTCAGTGTAGGCTCTTCCACTTTCGTCAGTAACCGCGTTTCACATCCGTACGCTAACCCCTTTCACACGATGTTATTGAAGAACTGATCACTATTCTTCTGGCCCGAAAGTTTCAAGAATTGATGATGTTCTGAAATGTGCACTAACCAGCAATACTTCTAATACTGCCTTCGGCTGAAAATTACCACTCGCATTTACTTCCTGGCCATGATACTTCTTCCAAGTCAACGCTGCCTATGCGCTGATTTTTAGGCCCAGTCCCCGAGTCATTTTCTCGCAACCGTGTGCGGAACGGTGAGCAAGTGATTTGTACTATCACACCAACAGGGATCTAAAATTTTCAACCCTTGTTGGTTTAATGATACGGATGACTGACAGCTTGATTTGTAGATGGTTTGGAGAAAACGACTTACAAATATAGCAGGCAGTCCAGTACAGGGAGCTCTAGGAATATAATTACACTTAGTATCTGGCTAACTCTTGCACTTACAGTGCGATTTCAGGATCCCAATGATCCTGATGGCGTATAGCGCAGCTGCTAGTAGTATTGGCTGTTCAACTTGTCACTCATTTCCATTTATTTTATTATAGTTCAGCATATCCCATTCACCTGTTTTTATTGGCCGCGAAATGACATTTATAACAGCGTGCTTCTTTACCATTAATGGAGTATATAAAAGTTATGGGGCAAGTTGAACTTTGCGAAATGTGCTTGCTGCGCAAATGCCTTGAACAAATGGTAATGTAAATGTCAAGACTAAACGAATGGTTTTGTCTCAGTGAAACTTTGCATTATTTTTCAAAACTTCTGACAAAGAAGATTTTTTATAATCTTTTAAAAATTAATGCTCGTCCCTTGCGAAAAACGAAAAGTTTGGGACTGCAACTTCAAAATCTTATTTTTTCAAGAATTCGTTAAAAATGTTTGCCGAATTTGCATTGAAAAATTAGCTAACCGGTAAGCAGTAGATACTATTGGTGTTCTACTGAGGCAGTTTTTCAAAAAAATTTGCAGAGGATGGTGGAAGATATAGGGAAGTGAGCAAGTAACTGGGGAGCACTCACGAATTTGAAATTGAATTCTAAAAAGCTCTCTAAAAACGGATGCAGCTACGCTAAACTTGTCGTATTAAAATTGCGTTAGTACCTTTCAGTTTATACGATTGCAATATTCCGGATTGTGCAGTGGAGGCTGAGCTGACCTTCATCATTTGTAAATCTCCATAACGATGACAGTCAATGACTTCCTTTCAATTCTTGAAGTTCTTATTTTCGCCCGACCTTAGTTTATTGTAAGAATCCATATTCTGTATGAAACAAAGAATTTGCTGTTTTCCTGGAGAAAGTCAAGGCGCTGTTAAACCACCTGTTTGTAAAAAGAGGCAGCAGTATTGTCAAAAAATAGTTGGGTGCTCTCCCAATATAGCAACCATTCTTATTTCTTACCATAGTGATTCCTGAAATCCCTTCATACGGTGTCTGAAAACAGAATGATTTTGCCATGCATCGCTAACTACTTTTAGCATTTTGTATACTTCGGCACTCGAGGATTGGAAATTTCCCTTTGATGTAATCTTTGTAGATATTATTTTTCCACGAACCCTCTCCTTAACCCGTAGTTTTGCGGGCTTAAAGGATTAATGAGTAACAAATCCAACAGAGGGCTTCGAGAAAACAGGTGCGAAGAGGTAATGAGATTGTTGAAAGTTAGATCGAAGGGCCTGGTTCTGGCATAGGTAAGTATGTAGTCGCATTTTAGCAGTGCTTGAGGCCTCACACTGACGCTCCGTGCGATTTCGATGCGAGATTCTCTGCTCAGAGTTGTTCGGCTTCAAGTTTCAATTACTCACAGAAAATATCGTTTGGAGTGAAAAGAACTGTCCTCGTTTTCATCAGTTTCCTTCATTTACTTTTTTTAGGGATTAGCAATTCTCATCTTTATCCATTCGACCAATTAAGCGCATCAGAAGGTTTGTCTGCTCGAAAAATTTTCGCCCACGCATCTCTTGGAAAAGATGATAATCGCAGTTTTTTTTTGTGGTGACAATGAAGTTACTTTTGCCCCACTACGCTTTTTCATTTGGTTTTTGATGCCGCTGCTTTTTTTGGCTTCCGTTAGCCCTGGTAGTATATTGATAGATAGCAGTCCCATTCCTGTCAAGCCAAAAGTGGTTTGCATTAGTTAATCCTCTTTTTTGATCGTCCTGTCTGATGTGGGCACTGTGTCCGCCAGCGATCCAGCGGCATTTTCAAATGGATTCTCACGCCGTCAGTTAAGATAAACTCGTCACTTTCTCTGAAACTCTCAACACTGGGCGAAAGTGCCACATCCTGTCTGTATCTTTACACTACGTGAGGGATTTATACCAAAAGTGCCTGCAGTGTTCATTTGATGATTTCGGCGAAGATGCCTCTCATGAATTTTGTTAACAGTGTTTATTAACTTTGGTAGAGGCTAGGATGTAACAAGAACTGGAATGATATTGAATGAACCTGAATCAGTTATCATAAAACGGATAACCAGTGATTTTCTCGCAGTTCAACTAAAACATTGATTCTGAGATACGTATAAAGTGAAACAGGTCTGGCAGCAACTTTCAAAAATGAATAAAATTCACTCTGAAAATTTTTGAATACTCTTATTTACTCCCCTTAATACTTTCTGGTTTTGAAGTGAATTTCCTGGAAAAATTTTAAAGGACAATATTGCAAAATTTTTCAAAACTTGCACATTTTTGAAAATTGCTTCATCCAGATGAACGATCATACAGGCAATAATTTTTCTTGTTTGGATTAACTGGCAATGAGTAAGCAGGGTTGACAGTAATAGGTACTTCTAGAAATATGATCTTATAGATATAGCAAGCTAGTGCAAGATCGAACTTATTGTAGTAGCAGATATTAATGGATGGATAAATGAAATAGCAATTGATTGCAAGTCTTCTTGACATATTTTTCCAGAAATGCGAATAGACAAAAGATACAGTGAAGTACCACGATTAGCATCAACAACTAGTAAGTACAGACAAGCTGAACAAAAAAGTAGCGGGCATGGTTTTATCATCCACGCACAGAACTTCTGACATTTTTCGCTTCACAGACGCATGCTGAAGCCAATCTTGCAGAAATTCTCTAATAACGATGAACTTGGCAGTCTCTTTTTCCTTTCCTTTAAAAAACAAGAACATCCACAAATTTAGGGGGTTAAATCGGTGGTACGCAGTGAGCAGTTGAAGCTTCTAATAAGCAAAACTGCTATATATATATGTATATATATATATATATATATATATATATATATATATGCACTGAATCCTCAAAAGTTTGCGAAAGAGGTGCCCTGAAACTAAAATTCGAGTCCGGATCCTTCAAAAATGCCATAAATGCGCCATAAAAAGCAATTCTGCAATTTGTGTATGCCGAAGTGCAAAAACTGCGTTAATGCCTCCAAAAAAGAAAAGCTTCTGTGAAAGTGCCGCTTTCGGAATGATTTTTCGGTGGGTTATGAAATTTCAAATCTTCCGTTGTCAACTGGACTTGCCAGAAATATTTTTGTAAATTTAATTTTTTTTTGCCTGTCGCATTTCTAGTACGAATGATGATAATAAGGGCGGTTACAAAAAACGATTAACTTTGGGATGTTTTTCTCTGGGTAAAAGGAGACTTCTTTGATCCATTAGTACAACGAATCAGTATTTTTCGGCGCTACTGTTGGCATTGTCCATCTTGATGGTTTTGAGATAGTTGCCGAATGTGGTGGCGCTGTTGCATCGGTCGTAGTTGCATATGCAACGGAAGATAAATTCCACCGATGCTGACGGGTTCTTTACGTATTTCGGGTTGAGCCGTCCAAAGTCGTACTTCTAGAAGAGTGTAAATATATGTGTTTATGTCCGAAAGGCGGAGAAAGCATTTAGTGTAATGTTATAATCTTCGAATTTTCTTTGCGCAATATTGGGCCGAGTAACTAATGTTTTCAGTTCAGAACAGACTAGCACGGCATAGCCAGGCTTAAAGACATAGTTGCATATTGGTGGCACTGAGAACTCCACAACAATGATTTGAGATGACAATGATTTTCATCCGGATTTCGGTTTCGTCCAGGAGGATTTGCAAAGGGGTGTCCTTGAAATACCTGGGACCCATTGGTAACCTGTCGTGGACTAGTACATGTTTTTTCTTCCGCTCTGTTACTAATAGATTTTTTTGGCATGTGCGTGTTGACATGTGCGGTTTCCAAAAGAGTGGGATGTGTATGTGCTATGAACGTGGTTAAGATCTGGAAGCAAGTGGTACTGGTCAAAGGAGACAGATATGTTTAAGTCAGATTTATGGCTACATCTTAACAAGGGCATGGGCTCCGTATCGATAGTCCAGGCGATCCTGGTGATGTATATATATATATGTTTTGCGCAAAAGTAGCGCTATAAAAAGATTAGTAACATTTTTTACTTATCGGTACTGTAATTATTAGTGCACAGGCAGCATTGTGCACTGGGGGACAAGTGCTTTTCTTTTTCGAAACAGTGCTGGAGTTGCCCAGTAAATGCACCAACACTCATAGGCGTCTACCACGATGATCTGTAGATCCATCTAGCGTATGTCAAAATCCAAGATCTCTGGAGTGTTAGTTTCCATTGGGCGTTGGATTAAAGCCCCGCATGCAGAAGGGTTCGAAGTTAATTTATAGTGGCGAATTAAAATTTGTTATGTGGCGCTGTTGTGGTGTGGCGGATTAAAATTTCAAAAAAAAATTGCAGATTTATTGCTTGCTTTGTTATGCAAGTGCAGGAACTTTGTTATGAAAGTGGCGCAAATTTGATTTTAGCAAGTCAGAAACGGTGAGATTTCTAGTCAGATCTCAATCTATTTAGTCGAGTTGCTTTCGACAGCTATCTTTAAAATTAGGCAGAAAAGAACCGAATACTCTGAATTAGCCTCACAAATTTCCAGTATGTAGTTTTTTGGTTCCGAATTATAACATTAGGTCGAATTTGAAAACAGTACCTGAAAGATGATCATTTTGTAATTATTCATAGGAAACAGTGTTTCCAGAATATCTGCTGCTTAGTTTTAGTATTTTTTTCAGCTAGCTCTATATATATATGATTGTGATACGAGTTGCAGAAATCATTTTAGTAAAATTTGAACTGCAAATTTTAAAAAAGTAAAAAATTCACATACTTCCAAAAGGCAGACCGATAGCACCTGATAGATGTTGTCAGACATGCCAAATGCGTTGTCGTAAGCGGTTGTCCAGTCAACTTCGGGACCAACACCGAAGACTCGTCCATCGCCAGATCCCGGGATGAAGACGCAGTAATTCCACGAACCATTTGAAACCTCATAAATTTTGCCCTACAAAAAAAAACAGTAGAATTGAAATCTGATTTAATAAAAATTGGGCATCGGGACTGAATTCAAATTAAAACAAAAGATTTACCTTAACCGGTTTATAAATTTCAGTGTAACAAACGCTAACAAAAAACTTTCAAATTCTTTTTTCATGTGGTAAGGCGTTTCTGTCTTTCCTACAATTTTTGGTTTTTTCCATTTCTTATTTATTTTTTCATATTGCTTAAAGCTAACGTTTTCGTCATTTTCATAGCAAACTAGAGCATTGGTCCGAGCGGTGAATAAAGCAAGAGTTATAATGAGCACGGGCGCGAACACTGTTGAGAAGACCATAGCTAGAGCGTCCAATGTGCTGTAACATGCAAAAAGTGAGGGGAAGAAGTTGGAATACGAACATCGAAGAGGATAAAAACGAAAGTGACCAAGTACCGTAGCGAACAGGAGAAGTTGATGAGGATAGGAGGTCGAAAATAAATGCGATGACGAGTGTTCGAGCGGGAAAAAATGATTCTGGCCGGAAAATTGCTCCTTTAATATGAGGGCTTCTGGCCTTGAGGGCGAGGTCAAGTTGAGGTCATCCGATTCCGCCCAGTCGTTGTAGGTGGGGGTTGAGTGGGAGGAGGATATGAGCTTAAGGCGGGTTTGCAGCGTCGACAGAATGACCCATGAGCGTTGAGGGGAAACTGCATGGGCACTGGGGCGGAGCGCAGCAAGAGGAGGAAGGACAGGAGGTACGGCGTCCATTGGGTTTCATATATGACGATAATTAACGATAAGCTCATCACCGCCCTTCACGGTCACTGAAAAGGGCCTGGTCCTCTTTTCCTGAATCCGCCCCTCGACCTTTTCGTATCTTGTCTGGAGGACATAAAAAATATTATTGATTGGACTTGTAGAGACCATTTTAATCCTCAAAAGCTTGGGTTTTCAAATTTCACAGACTGCCGACAAATCTGTGCACTGAATTAAATTCCTTAATGATGGTAGGATGCACACGAATCTCAGGCGTTCTCAAAAGCTTTATAAGCTCCAAATAAAGTGACAAAGAGTGAGCCTGGCACACTAGTTTCCGACTAGGCTGCGTGTCCTGAGACAGTGGTACCTGACGCTGAACGTCTATGCGTGCGGAAATTCATTATGCAAATCTTTTAGCACTCCTGCACTCGAAAACGAAATTGGATGTAGCGTCTCCGCCGTTTAAATAGTATAATCTCAGCCCATATTTGATCGTATTGCCATAAGCTAGGAATATTGGAGTTTTGGAGGCAGTTTCAAATTATAAAATTTCAAGTTCTTGGCCCATTCTTTTCTGGAATTTTAGAATTATCTGTAATTTGTACCTGTGGATCCTGGTCAATATACAGCAAAGAAATTTAACTACAGACTATTTAGTTCCGTTGCGTGATAATCTAATTTTTCAACATTTTTAGCCCATAGCGTCACTGCTTATTTTCGAGTTCGAGGTAACTCAAGTTGTAAGTCATAAGCCAAAGACTGAAAATTGATTTCGAATTCGGTGACTCGGTACACAGGCGGCAATTTTACTTCTGAATTTTACTTTCTTGATTGCAGTAGTTCTCAATTATGTGAACAAAATTACTGCGCCTATATCTGTGAGTTCGTCGTTTAATACTTCAATTCATGGGTTGTAGGAGGTAGGAAACACATTCCAGATTTTTACTGCTTCAGTGGCTAGCATCAGGAATATTCTTAAATTTACGGCTCTGGATAAAAGTCCTGAAATGCCAAACTAACAAAAATATCTTTTACATCCGAAGATTTCCCACTTACATTTGAAGTCACTGTCAGAATTTTAGCACCTTTGAACTAATTCGAGGAAAAATCATTTCGAATTTGATTAAAATGAGTCCTGTAGAGGAGTTGCGCATTCACTGACACATAAGTTAGCATCAAATATTATGCGCGAAATGAATACTCGTGAATTCCCTCAGAACATAATCCCTGTTAGTAGGAAGCTAAATGATAGGCTCTCTTTTTATCTAGGATTATAAATTTTACCACAGCTGACATATGCCGCAGCAGAGTTGCTTTGACTTTTTCGTTCGCAAGTAGTTTTAAATAATAAGCAAAAAGGTTTTGAGCTCTTGGTGTGTTTAGAAACAGCACTGCTCATCTGATCCATGGTTGGCAGTCATAGGACGCACTGTCATTTAGAGTAATTAAAAGAAGGAAAAAAAATCGGTCGAAAAAGAAAAGTGGATGTAAATCTGTGAACCAGCGAGCGAAACATGAGCAAAAAAAGTTTTTGAAAAGTGAAAAAATTGATTTGTAGTAGCTACTCTGCTAGCTAGCAAAGTGATTTATGGGCAATTGCTGGATGAAGAAATACAAATTGCCATTTTATTATTTATTTTTGGCTTCTATTAAAATGTTCAAGAATCGACATATTACTATTACTTGTTATTTTTTTCCAAATTTTAGTATAGTAGCTCTTTTGATTAAGTAAACCTCCAGGCCTGCTTGGTATTTAACTCCTGTGAGATATAGTGGCCTTCAGAGAGTAGCACCTTGAGCATTCACTAATGAGGATATCAAGCTATTCTTTTTCCGAGATCTTCATACAAACAGATTAAAGACAGTCCAAGTTGGCTAATGCGCAAGGCAATTTAGTACTGGTTTATCATCAAATTTCTAAACAAAAATCTTGAATCGAGCATAAAAGGATGGTTTTGGAGCTATATGTAACTTTTTCACTAGTTTCTGGACGGAAATTAGAATAAAAAAAAATCGAAATCCAGTGGATAATCCACAGTAAGACATTCTGATCCGTTTAATTTACACACGTTAATCTTTGAGACAGCAGCTGTAACAATTAAGGTTGGGAAATTCGGCTAGTTAACAGTAGTGATGTGATAGCGAATCAGGAATTTTTTTTGAAGCAGCAGGAGCAGTTTTTATAATTTTTCTTGTGAGAGCTGCAGCCAATTTTCGAGATTACTGGGAAAATGACACTAAACATGGAAAGCTTCATTTTCAAATGAAAATGCATTCTTGCTATAATTATGTGAATTCTTTGCTGTGTTATTCGTGGGGTAATGCATCCTGAAAACGCGTGGATGTTGAAATTAGCCAGAAATACGTGATATTTGGAAGGAAATTTTGGTACAGAATACCAAACTCAATTATGACAGAATTGAAGAGAGCAGTATAAAAAAGAACGTCAGATTTGGAAGGGCTGAAACTGTAGAAGTAATGAGTGTGCCGATTTCTCTAAAAACTACCTCCTTTTCTTAGATTCCTCGCCACCCTTTCCAACATTGTCTTGTTATTTCGGAGAAGCCGAAGGCTTGACTTAGACAGGAGTACAGAACTGATTTTGCAACCGCCCACTTCGAATCATGCCACTGCAAGTATGTATAAATTTACCCCTTTCCCTGTTCGGGCAGAATTTTGCGGTAAGTGGACTGTAAAAAATCCCGTGAAAAGCCTGGCGAAAACACTTCCTTAGTTCAGACAAAAAAAACTTTTAGCCCAAAAAAATTTCACAAGCCATCTTTATTCGTGCCGTAAATCGGAGGGTTTTATATTTTTGTGCTTTTGCATATATGACTAATGCAAATAGAACGCATTATGATCATCGCTGTGTGGATCTTGTATCTCTGTCTTCGCTCACGTAATTCACCTCCCCTACTTTCTGGGACGCTAAAACTCTAAGAACGATAAACCTAGAATCAGTGTGTGTTGATCTGTAAAATTAGAATCAAATTCATACTACGGCTCTAGAACCAAAGAATTTTCAGCCTAAAAGTTTTGCAAAATTAGGACGCCAGTTAATTCAGAACAAGTAACCTTTAATCAAGTCTCAAACCTTTCCTACTAAAAACTGACCTACAGTTTCGAGATTTAGGGAAGCTACCTTAAACAGTCGGAGATAATAAGCCGAAAGGTTTTGAACTCCTGGCGCGTTTAAAAATGTCACTGTTCACTTGATCCATGGAAGGTTGGCGGTTAAAAATGCATTGTCATTTTGTAATAAAAAGCAGGGGAAAAAAATGGGCGAAAAAAAGAAAGTAATTGTAAATTCGTGAACTTGCGAACAAAATATAAAAAAAAAAGTTTGTGCCTCTGAGGATCCTGTTTTCGTACAACAGATTGACCTTTATTTTGTTACGATATATAATCAAGAGTTAGCCGATTTCCTCCGTGTTAGCCATTCCTCTACGGTCCCTGTGTGGTCACACTATACAAATATGGTGCTGCTTGTGATAATCTCCACTAACATAAAATACTGTTAACTGCGCGGAATCCTTCTTTCATTTGGGCTTGTTAGTGAAACTTTAGCTTTTGTCGTCGTTGTGGTTTGGTTAATGGCCGAATTTGGATAGCGGTGCGGCGACTGGCAGTGATCATTTAGTGATCCATACTGCTAGTTGTTGACAGCAGTGATTGAAGGTAACTGCAGTAAGTGACTGATGACTGACTATTAATGTCGACTGATGATAATTTTTTTTTTGTGTTGGTAGCCACATAACTAGCTAGTGGTTGATGGTGATCATGAACTTCAGTGACTGATCAAAGCTGATGCTACATAATGCTGATAGCTGATGCATGCCTAGTGATAGTGGATTCGGGTGAATGAAGGAGAGTTCGATTCATATGTAGCGTATAGCCAAATTTGCTTTTAAGTGATGGCAAAGCGAAGGCGCTGTTGTTGGTTGTAATGCTGATGAGTCATCAAAAAGACCTGTGCTTGCACATTTTTTTGAAAGCATTCCTAAACATTGAATTTAGTCCGTTTTCGCATTTTCCCTCTTCAAGAGATCCCACTGGACAGACTCAGAAAGCTTCAGCTTTTGTGATAACCTTTCTTCTCTTGTAATAAAAGTATTCTTTTTATAACTAGCCGCGAAATTCCAGCCACTGACCCCTGTCTACATTAATTAGAAATGCCAGCCAGCCGTTTACTCGTTGATACAACTTTCTTCAGATGTCTATGCAACCTCAGGACTGAGTGAAGTATCGGTCGTTCATTACAGGAGGATTTGAGGTTGAGGCTAGAGTGCATGGCCCCTTGAAACCTCGCCGATTCTAGGTCAGTCTTCCAAATCTCAAATGTAATATTTGCTATTTCATGCAAACCCGGTGCTTTCTTCCGTTGTTGTCTTTGTTTATTTGGCTTAAAGCAATTCTTAGAATTATCTGCCATTGGCAAGTTGAATTCCGTTACGAGCATTTTCGGCGGATGGGTTGTATTTTCTTGCGCCCGAGTTTTGCAAATTACTCTTTTCTAAATCTAATAATTTTTTGACTTCTCTTTAAAGACAATTGCGATTTGCGTTACATCACTTTCATTTTATTAATTTCATTTTTTA